CTGCATGAACGGTTGTTTCTTCACACCTACCTTGTGCGCTCAATACCGTAAATCATCGTAAATTTTACATAAGAGGAAATAAACAGTTCCCGTTTAGCGGTCATTTTTTGAAAATGAGCCAGTTGTTCAATGAGCAGTTTTCCCGCCAAAAATTTAAGTGTCCACACACGAGTCCACACACGAGAACTACGCGTAAGTGAAGGTTGAATTTGAAACCTTTAAGTTGTGTTTGGACGGGGAGTATTCTCCTAAAGTCTCAGTTTTCCAGCTTTTCTGGTTTCCGAGTTTGCAATTCTTTCGCCAAAATTTTTACAGGGCCGCACGTGACCTGGGAGCCCCCCTTCAAGTTGTGTGTGGGCTGGCACATCCTTTAAAATTTCACCCTGTCAGCTTTCCAGGTTCCCGAGTTAGCTGTTTTCTCCCCAAAAAATTTCACTGGACGTACGTGAGAACCACCCATGTCTGGGTCTTGAGTTCGATAACTTTAAGTTGTGTGTGTGCTGGGAACATTCCCTGAAAATTTCAGCTTCCCAGCTTTCCTGGTTCCCAAGTTAGTGATTTTCACGTCAAGAATCCTCACGGGGCTGTACGCGGGAACCATGAGCACTCGGGGGCTGAATTTCAAATCTTTGATTTCTATATGGACGGGGAAAATGATCTCAGAACTTCAGCTTTCCAACTTTTCTCGTCCTCGAGTTGGCAGTTTTTTTGTCAGAACTTTCACCCTTTCCTACGCGGGGCCCAAACTTGCGTAAGGATTGGTACCGCGGTTCTAGTGTGGCACGTGGCCGAGGAACCCACTGGCAAAATTCTTGCGCTGGAGCTTGCTTGGTTGCCGAGTTGAAATACTTAGACAGACGAACACACACACAGACAGTATCGTTGCAGTATGCGTTTTTGCAATTTGCATATAAACAAAAACGCATAAAAATGTTTGGTACCGTTGGGATGAATTGGTGCTGCGGGCCTGTGGAGAGAAAGGGGCAGCCAAGAGCTACGCAGAAATGGGACCAGATGGGGGCTGTTCTTCGAGCATAAGCACTTATTGCTGCTGCAGCTCATGTATTATTACTATTATTATTGTTATTGTTATCATTATTATCATTATTTTTATTATTATTATTGCCATTATTATTGTTATTATTACTACTACTGCTACTACTATTATTATTATAATTGTCATTATTATTGTTATTATTCGGGACAGGGCACGAACTGTGATCATCTCTTATTGCTTTATCAGGCTGTTTAAAGCCTGTTTCGGGATTACATTTGGCAGACTGGATGAAAAAGAGACCAAAAATCAGTGGCGGGCAGCTGAATCATATACACGTCGTGGGTAAGATGTGCTGATTGCAGACAGCGCTCTCTGAGTATACGTAGCGCTGCAGAAGCTCATCGCGCGAACAAAATTAATGCACCAAAAACAGTAATTACACAGAATGTTGTTGTGTCCGCGGCTACTTTTACAGATATCTGTCACTGTAAAAGGAATCGACAGTTCGGCTGCAAAGTCAAAATGCGTCGGAATTTTTATCCAGAGACTGACTGCGGGTTGAAATAAGTTCACAGAACGTTGTCATTGTCTTAGTGTTAAACGAGGAGGACTATACCCCCTCTTCAATACCGCTGTGTTGAAATTGACATGTAGATGCGAAACGTTGTTAGTCGTAATATAAAGACAAATACTGGCTAATGAGGAAGAGAGCGAATTATACGTGGAGTATCTTTTCGTTACTGTCAAACATTTACACATTCTGTTGGATTAGCGACGTGTAAGTGCAGTCAGACATTCCAGCAGATGAATGGCATATAGGATATCGTTTTGACCACGAGCGAAGTAACATCTGGTGAGCGGTACATACTGCTGACGCTTTGGACAGCCAGTGAATGTCGCAAGTCGCTGAGCAGTACCTCCGGGAGAGAAATATAAACGACCGGTCATGACAGCCGAAAAAGCGGTACGCCATATGTTGCAGAACTAACTGGAAGTGTGGAGCTAGGGACTGATGAGTCCGGCATGTGAGTGTGTCCCTGTAGCAGCAGTGATTTCGGATCTTCATAGCAGGTGTCTAGGCGACCTTAATAGTATCATAAATTTTGATTTTCAAAAACAATGTTTTTTTAACGTTTTGCACCGTGTAACAGTAGCACAAGGCCCTTGTCTGTGTGTATATATGTATGTATATATATGTGTGTATGTGTCCAGGTGCATTTTGTCTACATTTTCAACTCGGGAACTGTGAGAGCTGAAAAGCTGAAATTCCCCGAATGCGACCTCATGAACTTGAATTTAGTCTTCATATACCCCCGAACACCATGCGCAACCCCGCGGAGGTTTTAGTGGGAAAACTTATTATCTCGGAGCCACTGAGGCTGAGAAGCTGAAATTTTAGGGTAATGTTTCCTACCCACAATTGAAACCGTAAATTTAAAATCAGCCTTCCCATTTGCCTGGGTAGCATGTATGACTCCGTGAAAGTTTTGGCAGGAAAAATTATTTCGGGAATCGCGAAAGCTGTGAAGCTGAAACTTTAAGGTAATGTCCCCTGCCCACGTACGACCTCGCAGACTCGTTTTCAGTTTTCGCTTAAGTTTGGGTCTCACGTACGGCCTGGTGAAAGTTTGGGCGGAAAAAATTATTATCTCGGGAGCGAAAAGAGCTAGGAGGTTGAAAACTGTAGGGGATGTTTTTTACCTTTGTAGTGGTCTCGCAAACTCAAATTTAGTCCCCTAGCGTGCTGAGGTCTCACGTACAGCGATATGAAAGTTCTGGGGCGAAAGTCACCCGGCGACCAGAAAATTAGGAGGCTGACATTTTGGAACGATCTTCACCGTCCAAGATTTCAAATTTAGCTTTCACTTTCATTTATGTTTTACGTACCGACACGTGAAACTTTTAATGGAAAATTTCGCAGCTCAAGAACCAGACGGCTTGTCGACTGTTTTTGCACTGACCAGAGTGTAAGACAGTGAGCATGCTTAGCAAGCAAACGTCCGCTGGAAGAAACTGCACAAAAGGCGAAACTTCCGTGAAACGCACGATCGTAACGGCTACCCTGTTGCGCGCCGCTGTTTATTTATTTTTTCTTTTTAGCGTTCACTGATGGTGAATTAGTGGCACTTTATTTTCGTCTGTATCGTGAACTACCTATTGAGTTGACGGCGCGTGTACTGCAGAATATAGTGCAGTTGAGTTCACTTCGGCGAACCCTGTTCTCTGGTTTGGAAAGATACGAGTATCTCGATGGTCTCGTCACTGGTGTGAAAGGAATAATGGAAAATCCGAGCAAGCTTAGGCAACAGGTACTTTTCGATTTCAGAATAACGAAACCCGTTGCCCTCACGCTGAAAAATTTCAGATTTTTGGGCGCTGCACTTTGCAGACCATAAATACAATCTTAATATATATGGAATGACCATCTTTCAAACGTAGTTCGCTGCATCTTCACTTTTCGCATCCTTTAAGTCAGCTTTTTCTTGATGTGCTCAGTTTTGCGTATCCTCATCTAAATTTAATGGCATTTTCCACTTAGTGTGGCTTTGCTTTTACTTCCAGCTAAATTTTTCACCCTCGGATTTAGCTAAGGTGTACGCCACCCCTTCTTGTTCAGTTCAGGTTCAAGAGGAAGAAGTTGTGTTTTCAATTCCTGGAAAAAATGAGGTCGAAGGTGAAAAAACGGCTTAAACTGCAACATACTAGTGCTAGTATTCGATGCGAAAGTGCAGATACACAAGAAGGTAAATAATGCGTCGTTTCAAGCGCTGCATTAATCGGTAGATTCCGGTCGGAGCAGAAAGAATAGTACTTGTTAAGTAAAGCATCACCGAATTTTCTGCTTTAGCGCAAATCTGAGGTTATCTGGAAGTACTTTTCATTTGTTAAAAACTTAATTTCACACCATTCCACTACGTTTTTGGATGAATTCCTTGCATCCAGCTTTCTAAGACGAGAGACTTTACCGTGCACTAAAACCAAAAGTGAATTCGCCATTTCACCCTATTTGTTTTGGACTCAGGAATATTGAATAAAATACAGTCGGAATACGCACACAGACAAAGTTTCGACAACATGCATTTTGTGCAACTGTTGCGGGACAAAACGCATAAAAAGTGACATTTGAAACTGCTGGCGGTCACAGCAGTGATTCTTGCTGATTAGCCGATTTTTGCGGTCTTTTAATAAAGTTTATCTCTAAAAACTACCAGAATGAGATTTGGGATTAAAATGATTCATTGACCTTCTCTGAGGCTATCGAAGTCTTGATCTGAAACAACTTGGCAGAAGGATGAAAAAATGATGCTGGAAAGTGATATGCTTCGAATTGCCATACGAAGGGCTTAAAGCTCTTCGCCCCTTCCCGCCGCCGTCCTCCTTTCCACCCTCCCCTTCCTAATCCGCCTCTCTCCTGGTGAAGGGCGATGAATGAGCATGAAAAGCCTAGACTTAGGGGTTTGGTATATGACCTGTTTAAAATAGGTCTTTTTTTTTCAAAAAACACCACGGCGATGAATTTTTCTTGTAATAAAACCCACTGTTTCAGGAAAGTTTTCATGAATTTTGCCGTATAATCGCACGTCTGAAAGCGAATTATCAGTTAGCTGAGCTGATGAAAGTTACAGATTATCCGGTACTGATTACGCTGTTGGCAAATTTCACTGAACAGAGTTTGAGGGTTCGTTTTTCGCTATCTCCTCTTTCCTTTTTCTCAGTAGTACATTAGGTAATGAACGGAAATTCATTCCGAGAGTTGGACAACCAATTCTAGCTTGTTATCATCCATTCAGCTGGCCATTTGATGACTGTAAATCCATGGTATCTTTAGGAGTCTGGTGATGCACTGAGTGACCGTAAAAACAGACACTGGGAAAACCCATTTCTGTGCAAGTTTTTGTTTGTTCTTGCAGGTTAGCATAGTTCAGATAGATGCGAGACCACGCGGCCTGTCGAGCTGCTCGTGCTAGCAAAAACAGATGAAACCACGTAGGATACTATCCTTTCTGCTATGTTTTAGACCCGATTTTTCATTTGACCGCACAGTGTTCCAACCTCAGCTAATCTGCTAAATTTTTTGACTTCTGCTAGCTCTTTCCCTCCCTCACCGCCTTGTCCTTCTTTTTGCCACGCCTTCGAGCCCCTCTTCTCTTGCTTCCGTTCTCACTGTCAAAGAAAATAATATTTTTAATAATGTGCTCTTGTGCAATAGACAAGGGAGTTTATCGCAACGGCGCTCAGTGACAATATCTGTGAAAAAATTTAAGCTTGAAACTTCTTGGCCAGTAGGGTCTGATCAGTACTGTTTCGGTGTCCTAGTAGCAGCAGATTCCTATATTCAGTAGCCCGGTCAGTCCCTATTCGCAATATTTTTACAAAGTTTCTCAAAATGGTTTAAAAAAATTCATTGTAGGCCTATGAATTTTCCTCCAATAGTACGTATTATTTGTTATCATTTTGGCAACGAATGGTGTCTTCTATGCCATACATGAAAGCAAATGATCCGCATCTGCTTAACCTATGTTGTCCAAAAATCACTACTGCCTACGTCGAAAGTCGGTTGCAGTACGCTAGAGCTGTTGCCAGGTACATTTATATTTGTGGAAGGCGTATTTTTAAAAAATAATATTAGATGTATGACGTCTTATTGCTGCTGTTGTTTACTGTAACTCATCTTTCGGGCATTTTGTGCTGTGTGACAGCAATACAAAACTCATATTGGAACGGGGTTGTCTGTGTGCGTGTTTGTGTGTGTGTGCCCGCAGCAACTTGTCCGCAACTTTCAACTCGAGGACCACAAAAGCTAAGAAGCTGAAAATTTAAAGAAAACGTTCCCCATCCAGATGCGATCCCGCAGATCTAAATTCAATCTCCCCATACCTGCGGGTAGAAAGTACGGCCCCGTAAAAGTTTGGGCAGATAAAATTATTATCACGGAAAACACGGAAGTTAGAAGGCTGAGATTTTGTGGACATGTCCCCTGCCCATATGCGACCCAGAAAATTTAAATTCAGCCTTCTCCTGCCCGCTGGTAACACGAACGACCCCGTGGAAATTTTGACGGGTAAATTACCTCGGGAACTGCGGAATCTAGAAAGCTGAGGTTTTAGGGTAATGACCCTCTGCCCATGCACGACCTTGCAAATTCAAATTCAGCGTTGTCGTGCCACATACGGCCCCATGAAAATTTTTGCAGGTAAATTATTATCTCGGGAACCAGTGAATCTAGCAAGCTGAAATTTTAGCGTGGCACCGTCTACCCGCGTACTATTCCATAAATTTTCAACGTCCCTGTGGAAGTTTTGGCGAGAAAAATCATCTCGGGAGCCAGAAGCGCTAGGAGAATGTTTCCTGCCTAATCAGGGACTTCACAAACTCGAATTCAGTTCCCAAGTATACCTAGGTCTCACATACAACCACGTGAAAGTTCTGTCTTAACGCTCATTCGAGAGCCAGGAAATTAGGAGATTGAAATTTTGAGAGGATATTCATCTTTCGAGTTTTCAAATTCAGCTTTCATGTGAATGTTCGTGAAATTTTTAACTATTTTTCAACTATTTTTGCATAGACCAAAGTGCAAAGCAATGAATATCATTAGCAGGCATTGGTTCGGTGAATGGAAGTGCACAAAATGCATGATCGCATCGGCTGTTCTAGTGCGCGCTGCTACTTATTTTCTTTGGAGTATAGTTTTCTCTAAATTCAACCTAAAAATACTTCCAATCCCCGGAATAATAATTTTGGCAGTTCTGAAAGAGCTTTTGTTTTTCGGGCACCTAAATTTAATTTAGCATAGTTTCGGCTACGAAAATCTGGCAGCACAGTAAAACGAGATCTGATACACTTCATGTGTGACATCTTGTTTGTGACCAGTAGAATTCCTAACTACTTAGTCCAGGTAAACCTTAGGATCAACTCTTCCTGCAAACGCAAAATTACCGAAAAGTTTGAATTTTTGCATACGAAGTACACTTTCTGATGTGTGAACGACGAACATGCCATCGCAGTTTTATGGGGAGAGTTATAGTTCTGCACATACAGCAGTGTATTTCTGGAACTGAAACGCGAACAAAACTGGGGAACTTCAGGAGCCTTCAGCGGTTCATAAATGTAGTTCACTCCGGCAACAAAAAATGTCATTTTCTTAAGGCTCATCCTCGAGAACAACGTTTTCGGAGGAGGGGAACTGGGAATGGAGCGAACTATGTGCACCTTGCACAAGTTTTTTGTTAACACTTCGATTTTGGCGAGTCATACTATTGATGTTGTTTGCAGAGGTGATGTTGGCGACGATCCACTGGATGACCAGGGCGCCTTGCAGCAGGTTATGGAACAATTTGCAGTCATTTGTCGATGTGAATTTGAAAAATCTACTGAGCTTATTGTGCGTTCGTTCGATCATGACTATGCGGTCTACGAACGTTCCACCAATCCGACGGTTTGTTATTCTGACCACTTTAAAGTATTCAGCTTTTTTATCGAGTACTGTAGCATCAGTGTGGAGTTGACGTTTTTATACACTGATCTAAATCAGTGCTTCATATTTTTCTTTCAACACAATGCTTCATTCTTAAAAGCTGTTTTGCCGGTACTGTGCGCGTTGTTCATGTTTACTGTCCTTGGGTGAAAAGCTGTGAAGATTAAGGAAGAGAAGTTCTGAAATCTTTAACCCCTACTACGTAGAAGGAGCAGAGCAAGAAATCGGGTTTTAAATTTAATGTTTTTTTGACCAGTGACTACGGGCCAATATGAGCATTTCTCTAATTTCCCTGGGTTGCTTTATTTTAAAATCTCAGTGCCTGATTTGGTATCTGTGGTGTGTGTGTGTTTTTTTTTTTTGTGTATTTCTCCTCTCTACTGGTTTTCCTTTCGCCAGAGCTAATTTTCGCGCTTTTTATGAACAAATGGAGCTTGTTCTTTGTCTGGTACTACGCTAAATTATACTTAGTTTCTAATTCTGGTCCACGTATCTCCATGGAAGATAATACGGATTCACGTGTATGGTCCAGGTTTTAAGCTCCTTTTGACAACAGTCAGCCGTCTTAAGATGATGCAAAGTTAGACATAGTTGTACTGGGAAAGGAAGTAGAGGGGGGGGGGGGGGGGGG